TGGCTGGAGTAAATGGTGGAGCATATTTGACACGGTTTTTGTGATTTCAGACTATGCAATAAAGTATCTACATATGTAGAGCTTCAAATTCAGCTAAAAGACTTTTTTGTTAATGAAGTTCAAAAATTGTTAAATTTAATGCAAGTTGCCACATACTTATTGCAGAATACCATTATAAAAACAATAAAATTGACGTAAATCTTTCAGGACCAAGGGAAACATTTCTCCCAAAGTATTTTCCACTCATAAAGAAATAGTGTGAAGAAACTTAAAATTTGTTGTTTTTTCTTAAATTTGCCTCATTTTTATTAAGCTCTATTAATACAGGTTTAGGAAAAAATAGTTTACCTAAAACTAGACAAATTTGTAAAAATTGAAAAAAATTATATTTCTTAAGGATAGTTAATTTTTTAGAAAAGAAATTAAAAAAAAGGTGTTATTTGTGGAAAAATTACTTTTATGAAAAAAAATATTTTTTGAAAAAAAAAAATACAAAACAAAATTTTGTTAGAAAATTATTTGCCTTATCGCGAATTCCATGTGACCAAATAATCACAAAAGTTATAAACCACAAAAAAAAATTCCCAATTTATTTTTGTTTTGCTTGTTAAATTATGAGAACATTTTATTCACATGGAATTGGCGATTAGGCCGATTTTGTTTAGCCGAAAAAATATGTTTGTAAAAGCAGCGTAGAGTGTTTAGTACATAGCAAAAAAAATTGTTTTTGGGGAGAAACGTTTTTGGAGAAAATTTTTTGTGGAAAATTTGGAGAAAATTGAAGTTTTAAAAAGTTGTTTTTTCTTTATAACTTTTTAGGAAAGCTTGTGTGTTTTTCGTCGGCTTTAAAAAAGAAGGATGCCTTCATACCTTGGTGGATATTTTTAATGATAACTTTACAGTCTCTTCTTGTTCATAAAAATTGCAATATTTTTTCAGTACCAAAGGGTCGCATACACACTAAGTGTCGCTGCGGTGCATTAATCCTACGAAAAAAGCCTTCAAAAGCTTTTAACACCTCAATGAATTTTAAGGTTACATACTGTCTAAGCTAAGCACGCTTCGATACAAGTGTCCGGTCATAATCACTATCACGGTTCGTGTGGAAGTGACGTCTACTATACTTTCTTCTTCGTCCTAATTTTTCTCGCGAAAGCTGAATCTTCCGCCTGTAAGCGCAAATACGTCTTCTTTGCCTACGCCAGCGTTAATGTAACAAACCACAATTTTATATCGTGGCGAGCGCAGCGGTTTTACGCTTCTTCCAAATGCTCATAGTACTGTTATTTGGTTTACGTTTTCTTCTCCAGCATCGGAGCGTGCGTGCAGCCTTGGCTAATATTGTTGAACTTAGCATTGAGACGGACGGTGTAAATCATTTTGTTGATGGAAGTGAGCCTGTAGACAAGGTTTTGAAGTATACGAAGCTTTTACAACCATGGGAACCAAGCGGGAATAAGCAAGCTTTTTACTCACATGTAAAGGAAATATATAATTTGGGTCGAGGGAGGGTAACCGTCGGAATTAACAATAATAAAAGTATCCTAGGGACTTATATTTTCTTGTCGAAGCAGGCTCCATTGCGGAACTGTACAACTTCAAAGTTCTTTCAAGAATTTTCCAATGATATTGCAAAGACAAAAAAAAAAAACCAAATAATAAAAAAACATCCCACTTCAATGGTCATGTAAAATTTAGGATTGCCGTTTCCGCATGATGCAATGTTCGGAACTAGACCAAATTAGTATGGTGCCTCCTTTCCTATAAAAAAAAACCACTATGTAAGTATTTTCCGCACGTGCGCGCACTAGAGAAATTTTTTCCTAACCACTCATACCCATTTAAAAGAATTAAACCGCAAATAAACACATGTGTACTTATTTAACTAACAACAAATTTGTGTGGAATAAATATTTGCTACTGGTAATAAAATTTCGACACAATTTACATTTGAAATGCATTAAATGTAATGGGATTGAAATTAATGAAATTAGAAAGGGTTGCAAAGAGGAATACATAGCAAATATTGTGCAATAAAGATGTGCTTAGACGTGATTAAGGAAGATCAAGAAGGTGAGGAGCGTGAAAAATGTGAGGCAAGTAGGAAGGAGAATTGAGAAAACTGGAAAGCATGTGGCGAAAAAGGATTTTTGTGGTAGAAATTTAATAAACTTCAGGTTGGTTAAAAGTGATGTGGGAAAGCTAGATTTGAATTTTATAGAAAGCAAGACAGCACAAGAGAATCGGAGTGGTGGGAAAGTTGCTGAAATAGATAAAATAAGATTACAGTTGCAGATAAGAGCTGTGTCAGTGAAAATAAAAGATATGTATATGTAAATGAAAGCATAAAGCTGTCAAGAAGGCTTTTTGGCGCGCGCACGAATAAGATATGCGTACAAGTGTCTGCGGGTGAGAGTTAAGAAGATTTGCACAATAAGAAAGCAAAGCATGAACTAGTTTATGAGCGACAGGACAGTCAGCCACAACCAAAACTAATGAAAGTGTTTTGCGCGGTGACATAAACCAACAGTCGTTGGAAAGCAGTGCGCACCAGCACAAGCACTGATATAAAAAGGACCGTACATACATATGTATGTATTTATATACGACTGGCGAACAAAAGGCAAACGCGCTGAAAAGCCAACTGTCCACACCTTTGTCGGCAGACGACGTTGCAAGCTTCCACCACGCTAGACATGCACGCAGCCGAGAGTTTTTGCGCAACACTAACTCACGCCAACGGGTGTGGCGCTATGGCGTATACGTAATTATTTAAGTCAAGTTTCAGCTTAACAGCAGCACCTCAGGCCACAAAGCAACCGGCACGACAACCGCATACCAACGAAGAAATGTGTAGAGCTGTTGCGGCATTAAAGTGTAATAAAGTAGGCAAACGCAGGCAATGGAACACACGAACACACACACAGATTAAGAGAAATGTTGTAGAAAAGGATGTGAGAAGCAGTAAGGTGGCCTGACAAAGGCATAGCAACAGCTACATAAGCGAGCGAGCGTGCATGTGTTGCATACCTTCGGGCAAAATAGCAAAGCTGTAGCGCCAGCTGAAATGAATAGCAGACGTTGTGGCGACTAAGACAAAAGGCAAACAAACAAGCAAGCAAAGCAACCAAACAAACAAACAAGCACACGTGTAGATAAACAACTAGAAAAAAATATACATACATAAATACAAACACACATGCGAACACCGCAAGCAGCGAATGAAGATTGAGGATGTGCGCGAAGAGGAGGACAGCATCGGCAACAATAAAGTGTAGCAAAGCCGAAGATAAATAAAAAGTAGTCAAACAATGCCAGCCCGTGCTAGAAAATTTCGTTACAAAGGCAATGGAAGCAAACGAAAAAGAGTGTGCGTGTGTTTACACGCGTTGATTACCACCACCACGAAAAAAAAGAGGAGAGAAAACTGCGCTGCAATGTCTTTTTGCGCACAGACTTACACATACACACGCTACACACTAGCATAGCCATTATTTGGCTAGCTGTTTTGCTATTGCGGTAAATATATGTACGTTGCATGCTTTTAGGCGCCATGACTTTTTTTGTGCATAGTGAAAAGCTTAGCTGCGCTTTTGTTGCGCTTCTACATACTAGCATCTACCAGTGTTCTTGCCTGCTTAACGCAAATTCTAACACTATGCTGTTGCATACTTTTCTGCGTTGCTTTTTCTGCTTCCGCGCTTGAAGCTTAACACACTTTTTCGTACAGTTTTTCTCCATTCTTGCTGCGAATGTATCCTTTCACTTTAATTTGTGCGCGCTCTACTTGTTTGTTTTGTGGTTGGTCACGCCTTATTAAATTAGTGCATACTTTCAGGCGTGTCTGCTTCAAATTAATGCTGGAACTCTTTTTTTCGGCATGAAGGTTGCGCTATTTGAGAATGAGGAAGGATTAGTAAGTAAATATTGTGGTTCTTGAAACGTATTTTACATGATTAGGCATGAGGACTTTTCAAAAACCCTCCAGCCGTAGAATGTCAAAACTCATTAATATCATAGACCTAGTCTTCTCCAAGGTAGCAAGGAAATAGTTCTCTGGAAGTCAGAATTGAATCCTAAGCGGTAAAAGTGCTTTATTTTAGCTGCTTGTTCTCAAAGAGCAAAAGAAGAATTCAAGCCGGTCAGAGTTGCAATGAACTTGTCAAGCTCAGAATATCATTCAACCTCTTGGGACTTTAATTACAGTTGCCAAGTAGAGAAGCGTATTTGTGTGGTCGAATTTTTTGCTGGAAATGAAACTTTGCTGCTCAGTACTCCACTGCCAATGGTTAAGCGTCTGGCCACAATAATCAAAATATTGATCATCCGTTGACCTTTCGAAAGAAGATTACAATACTTTCAAAGGCCTCTTGTATGGGAGCTTTTAGTGAAAAAAATATCTTTGGTCTTAAAGTTTAAAAAGACCGCCTCTGCGACTTCGCTAAGAATATATGTATGTATTTTAGCGTGCATCACTCTTCATAAAAAAAACAAAAAAAAAAATCGGTACTGTTTTTCCATCAGAAATATAAAATTGGTTTATATTTTAAGAACTCCGCCAAATTATTTTGGGAAAATACAGTAGGGTTTCGATAATCCGGACAATTAAAAACCTAGCAGTGTCCGTATTATCGAAATGTCCGGATTATCGAAGTCCTAAAAAAATATAAAAATTTTACATATTCTCAACAGCTTAGTTCATTTTTATTTCATTTTATGATTTCACATCAAGATTTATTACATACAAATGTAAAATAACACAAAACTTTAATTCATGAAAATAATGTTGTATTAAGTTGTATGCTATTTATTGTTGAAGAAAATTCGTGATTTTGGTCTGACGAAGTTTGGTTTCATTGCGATTTGTATAAGCTATCTCTCTTAGGCCAATAAGTTTCAAAATATCTAAAATCCTGCTCTTCAGCATATTGTATGCAAGTAATTTCATTATTCTGATACACATCCGGACTTATTTCAACCAGCAGGTCGATTACTTCACTTCAGGGATTAGAGCGTAATTGCGCAAGGGGCAAGTCGTCATCCGAATATATTATATTAGTGCCTACTGCGTTCCAAGCTTTCATCACCAAAAATGCAACGTCTTTTAAAGAAAACTTTTTAATAACATCCGTCAAATTATCGGTTAAATTTGATAACATAAATGATAGGAAACTTTTACGATAGTTCACTTTCAGAATTCGGATAGCATTTTGATCCATTGGTTGGACTAATGCTGTGCAATTGGGGGGTAAAAACATTACGCATATGTCTTCTTCGGAGCTAGCTAATGACAATGGATGACAGGTGGCATTATCCAACAATAAAAGTGCTTTTACTGGCAAATTTTTCTCTTTTAAATGTTTCCGCACTTGTACAACAAATGAATTCTTAAACCAGTTTCTAAAAATCATCTCTGTCATCCACGCATTCGTGCTGTTAGCATACTCCAATGGCAGCTTCACCTGTTTGAACACCCTAGGATTTTTTGCTTTCCCGATCATTAACAATTTTAGCTTATGTTCTCCGGATGCATTGCAACAAACCAATAACGTGATTCGCTCCTTACCAATTTTACGCCCAGGTGCTGTTTTTTCGGTGCGCAGCGCAAGTGTTTTATCTGGTAACTTTTTCCAGAATAGTGCAGTTTCATCTGCATTGTATATTTGTGAATTTGTTAACCCCTTTTCACGAATTTTTGTCTGAAGTTGTTCAATAAATGGCTGCACAGCCGTAGAGTCATTAGTTAATTTTTCACCAGAAATTTTTAGAAATTTAATTCCATATCTTGATCGAAAGTTATTAAACCAGCCCTTGCTTGCGAAAAATTCCACATTTGAACCATAAATTTCAGAACAGAAAACTTTTGCTTTTTCTCGAAGAATTTCAGAGGATACACGTACATTCAGCTGTCGTTTTTTTATAAACCAATTATATAGGCGTTCCTCCATCATCTGGTATTCCGCACATCTCATCGTTTTCCTTTGGCCAAGACCATTTTCACTTTTAGAAATGTACCTAAATGCATGATTGGCATTGTTATTAGTTTCTCAATTTAAAAAAGAAGACAAATCTTCTTACTAAATTTTATTTTCTTACCTTTCTATCTGTGATTCTTTTAATTTTATATCCGAAATTGTAGATTTACCTACATTATACTCCAAAGCCAGCTTTCTAACCGACTTTCCTTGCTTCAATATTTTTAACACCTCTGATTTTTGGTCGATTGTTAAAAAGGTACGTTTTTTTGTAGCAATTGGTGGCATCTTCACTAGGCACTGTCCTCAAGGACTAAACGCCTGTAAATTAACTTCACACACGACTTTAAATTAGCCTAAAATAACAATTCCCGTTCTTCAGTAGGCTCTTGCCGCACGAGGTAAACAAATCAAAGTCAAGACGATAACTGAGCTACGCAGAGACATAGCATGGTCAGGCGGTGCGTGAATTCAATGCATACTTAGGTAATTTTAAAAAATAACGCCAATTCCCGTTGTGAGTAAAGAACTTCGAATGGATATCATTCCAGACACAAAAACAAAATAAAATATAAAGCGTCCGAATTATCGAGTACTAAGTATTGGTGTCATGTCCGGATTACAGAGTTCTCAATGGAGACCCCACGCACGTCCGGATTAGCGCGGTGTCCGGATTATCGAGTGTCCGGAATATCAAAACCCTACTGTATTGAGATTTACGTGAGATAGAACTATTTCAAAATACCTCCAAAAATTCAATTTTTTATAAATAAAATTAGTTTTAAAAAATATTTTCTCAATTACTTGACCCTTACTGCCGCTAAAACGGTGATGCGGTAAAAAAAATTCCTCCTAAAGAGTCGTGTTGAAATCGGACACAGCGGTAGATAATTTGAGATCATTTATTTAGTTAAAATGGGAGTGAAGCTTAAGAACTTAAATGATATTGGCGGCAAAGCCTGCGAAGATTATGGTCACCCGGACAATGCCGGGGTGATACCCTCGCTATGAATACAAATTTCAAGGCAGAGCTACTAGAGCAGATGGCTTGCTAGTTGAGTTTTTTTTTTAGATATGGAGTTAATGGTGGTGCATGAATTCACTTATATGCAGAGTGTGGTCCGACAGAACTGTGATCACCATTTGATGCTCTGCGTTATCCATAACTGCATTGCATTGACTACCGCTTGATCGCATAGTGGCTCGTATCCAGAGTATTGCGCGAAAAATCCTTCGTCAACGAAAAGATTGCATATTTACAGATCTGGCTGCCCCAAACAACGAAACTTGACGAACATATCAAATCCCGGAGATCTAGACATACCATCTCTGTCTCGATTCTTAAGTCGTTTTCGATAGGATGAAAAGGAGTTGCTTTGAAAGAAATTTCTCGATTTGTTTAACACCAAATGAATGGCTTCTATGGCCGTACTTGTCACTCTTCTCACTAAGGTTTGGACCTCGGCTCGGCTCATCGCTGCGGTAGATTCGAATGCTTGCGTCAATAAACCCGAATCTCACTACCCAATCCTTTTGCGGAAGAGGGGCAAGCGATTCGGCGTTGAGGATCAACAACACCTGCCTTGTGCCTTCTACCGGCTTCTGTGTCTTCCCCACCCTCCAATTATGTGTTGACAGGTCCGTATGGCATGATCTAAAGATCCGCTCTATTCTTTAAGGCTCGGCGGGTTTAGCCGGAATCCAAAACCGAGCCCTAGGTCGGCTAGGAATTTCTTCCTTGCTGACGGTCTCCATGTTTGGCCTCCATCCCGACCAAACCGCACCTACCTTGATGACGGCCAACTTATAGAGCTGAGCTGACTTGACGTTTTCGCAGGCGGTGAGCTTTTCTCTACCCTTATACGAGCCGGAATCATGGCAGAGAGGATGAGGTTCAGGGTTTTCCTCTAGGACTTGAAGGTAGATTTCGGCAATCGCTTCCTCTACCCCCCTCCATTTTCCTTTGGGGATAGTCCATCCGTCTCCCCTCTGTCGAAGATGGCCAGTACCTCACTGCATAGCTTTACTACAACCCTGAAAGAGGGGTATTTATGGCCACCAGTTTTTGGTCTCTAAGCGACCTTATCCCCTGCCTGTTCAGCAGATCGCTGCCTCTTTGGAGCAGTGTCTGCCGGTTTGCCCAAGCTGGCTACTACTCCCCTCGCTCACTCTAACGAGCTCGCCCATTGTTTCCCCGTCAGCTGCTCTAGTGGCCGCCTTTTGGTCGTAATAGGCCTGCTTCGAGGGCGGACATGCTTAACCGGCCCCTGACCTTCGGTTGCAACCTTTATTGAGCTGCTGGGTGTTTCAGCCGCATTATGCCGGTTTAGCCTTGATTCAGGTGCTGCTCACCGCCCTTGTATTGAAGTGTGGGTACTATGGGGCCTAATTTCGCTATTTCAAAAGGCATTCTTGTATGAAAGATGTTAAAATAAACTATCCATCTGACAGCTTGATTCATTACCTTCCCAATATACCTCGGTTTATGATTAGTGAATTTATAAAGAATTTTGTTGACCCAACTTGACGGTTTTGTCGATATTTGCCACGCCCAAAATTTTAAGAAAAAATTTCTAAAAAATTCTTAAGTCCATTTCTGTCAGTTTTTTTTTTATTTAATTAGCCTGTGTGAAAAAATTTGAGCCAAACCGAAGGCCATCACCCGTAATTGACTTTATATCAAACACGAGAAAAAAAACAAAAAAAATTTTTGCTCATAGTAGCTTATTTTGGTAAAATCTAAAACAACATACGGCCACTTAAGGCATTCTAATTTCACTATAAAGCCACTTAAGGCATTATAAGTAATTTCATTATAAGGCCCATACAACTGCCACACAATTTCAGGGTATGGGAGTAAGGAGGCATTGTAGCTTTCTTACGCGCTATCTAACCAACTAACTGTCTTATTTTGAAACGAACTTGGCAATTTTAAGTTCATTTTCTGCTTATGGCATATTTTGCGTTTTTTTCTATTATTTATTTCTCTTTTTATTTTTCCTAGAAAAGTAAAAGGAATTCAAAGCCAAGCAATTATTGAAATGGTCAAATTGTCCAGATATGCCACAAGACATTACAAGTAAATATCCAACAATATTCAACCATTAAAAATTCATCATCATCGCCATGTCGTACCGGTTTCCATTTAATTCCCATAAGTAATTTGGTTGCGCGTTTGCTCCGTCGAAAATGGAGCAAAGTACTCTTCGCAAATTAAATGATTACCGCTCTAACTCTTCCACAAACAAAAATAGCCGTGCTAGAGGAAGGAAAATTTTATTTTATATAATATATATGTAAAGAAAAAAGGCAATTTCAGGCGAAACCCGCCAATGAAGGAAATGCGAAATAAAAAATGAAAGAATGTAAAAAATCAAAATAAATCTTCAAAAAAGGTTTCCGTTAGCTGTGCGAATTAAAAAGCGTAACGAAATGAATAGATAGGAACAGACACAAAGTTGCGCGCACAAATAACAAAATATACATACATGCATATACATACCTATACGTTTATATGTATGTATGGATATGTATGTAGGCATGCAGAGCGAAATCGCAGCACAAAGCAAAGTAATAACAACAATAACGAGGTTATACAACAAATGAATTTATTTGACGTTGCTTTGCACAAAATTCCATTGTAATTGAAGAGACACAACAGCAAAAGAGTGAAAAATGAAAAATACCTAACTGAAATTAAATTTTTTCTAAAAATAAAACAAACGGAAATAAACACCAGAAATAGAATAGAATTTGTGCAAATAATAATTATCTGCAACAATGATGTGTAAAGTATCTTTTAAAATAAAGCTTTTAACTAAATGTTTGGTTTATTTTGTATGCTTTTCTTTATTTAATAAAATTTCTCCTTTTTTGGGTACTTTAAAAATTTTTTTTTCATCATCCCTGGTACCCTTTGGTTTGGTCAGCAAATAATACAGAGCTTAGTGGGCATTAAATAAAAAACGCTACGCTAAATGTAAGCCGCTGCTAATTAAGAATTCTTGTAGATTTATGCCGCTCATTAGGCTATTAAATGCGGCAGTCAGACGCAATGTTCGGCAAGCAAATGCAACATGACAAGATTTTAATTAATTTTTTGAGTTACGACAAAGGCATTAAGTACGCCAGCGCGTCGGTGGTTTGGAAGCAGGCAGCAAGGCGAAAAGAAATATGCATGTTTGAGTTCGGGTTTGTGTGTGTGAATTTGGCAGTTTGGAAATTTGTGCGTTTAGTTAACTATTGATTTACTACGACAATGTTGCGTATACGACTGGGGGTCGAATAAGTTTTTCACGCTTGTGGGAAGACGAGAATTTAATTGAGATAAATGGTGGGAGGTTGATTTTTCGGATGAGAAAGTTAAATAAAAAAAAACTGAAACAATAAAAATAGTAGGGAAAAAATTTAAATCAAAAATTGAATTCGGAAAAATTAAAAACAAAAGATTTATTGCTTACCATTACTTCGCGAAACCTCTATATTAACCTGTTTATTTGTAAGTCAAAAAAGAAATAAAAAAAATACTTCTTTGAAGTACATTTTTTTTGGCTGGTAAAAAGGATTTTTTAAGCCAAAAATTTATTCCAGGCAAAGTTTTCAGTTCAAAAGTTTTCAATTTCTTCACTTTTTCAAGTTTTTCACTTTCTTAAAAAGGGCCTCAAGCACAACAAAATTGATTAATTTTCTTTTTACTTTTT